CCTGAACCAATCACAGTGGCGGGTGGGGGAAAACTGGCTTAAAACAGTGGTTCTCAAAGTGTGTTCCCTGACCAATGGTGTCAACATCTTCTGAGAACTTGTTAGAAATACCAATTCTTGGGTCCCACACAAACCTAATGTATCAAAAACTCTGTGGGGGGCAGGGGAGGATTCAGCAACCAATGTTTCAACAGCCTTCTTTAGTGATTCTGAGGAAGGTTAAAGTCTGTGACCTTCTGGTTTATATCATCAGGTCCTTCCCATGGAGCCAAGAAGGGGGTGAACCCCATTCATTCCAAGGTTGTCACATGATTTAAGAAGGAGGCCTGGGAAGTTTCCATCAAAATACTTCAGAAGGGAACAGCTCTAGAAGACCAGTTGTTTGTGCTTCTGTTCTATGCAAGGCTGAGGGGTAGAAAACACAGAGGTCATGCAAGAAACTAGCCAATTGGTTTGAGGATTACTTCGGATATGCATATTTATTAGTCCACAGGCCTTGAAGAAAAGGAAATGACAAGCATTAATCTAAGCATTTTTCATGGTCCTAACCTACTCCCTCCAGAGAAATTGGACAAATAAATTTACACACATTTGACAGAAATAAAGCTACTTAACAAAACCACATTGAAGGCACTCTTTAAAACAGGTTGCTAATCATGATTAATTCTAAGAATCAATGGAATAGGGTTATATGTACAGATTTCCTGGGCTCTACCCTAGTCCTGCTAAATCAGGATCTCTAAGGGAGGGTCCCAGGAATCCGTATTTTTAGCAGACATTACCAGTGATTCGAATGGATTATGTGTGTTTCAAAATTACTATTCAAAGAGATCTATCCAAAGGACTGGAGAGAAAAATTCCATGAAAGAATTGTACAAACATTTCTGTGTAAATGATAGTTTCTTCTTCTTTCTGTGATGCATTTCCTCATTACTAGGGTCTTTAGTATTTTTCCCACTTGTCTTATTCTACCCTGCCTCCCAAATAAGCCACTGTTGATACCACTACCAGAGTGATCTTTGTAAAAGAAAATGGATGCAGGCCTGTGCCCACACTCTATCACACGACCTCACTGTGGTTCTTAGGATAAAATCCAAAGCACTAGCCCCACATAATAGGTTCCACCTAACCCAGACCTTGTTTTTCCCTTGCTTCCTTATTTTCCCCATGAATGCCCTTGAACCATCCTAAATCTCTTGCATTGCCTTGATACACTGGACTCTTTGGCCTTTGCTCCCACGGTACATGAACATCTTCCTTCCACCTTCACCCAGTTTACCAGTCAGGGCAGTGCAAGATCATGCTAAGGTAACAAAATCTCAGTAGAAGACAATGAAAATTTGTCACTAGCTCTATATCATGGGTTGCCAATTTTTCGCAAAAGGGCCCGGTGGTAAATATTTTAGGCCTATGAGCAATATATAGTCTCTGTTTCATCATCTCCTCCTCCTTCCTCTCCCTCCTTTTTTCTTCTTTTCTTGGTATAACTCTTTAAAAATGCAAATATCAGGGGCTGGCCCTGTGGATCAGTACTTAAAGGATCCAGATCCTACACAGCAGAATGTAGGCTGGAATCTTAGATCCTGTGGCTTGAAAAAGACACCAGGTACATGCACATGCTTGCCCTAAATCTTGACAGGGTGGGAAAGTAGAGGAGAAAGGATTGTGGTGTGACCATGCTCCACTGTGGGGGGTGGGGGAGTGCTTTCTCATTATCCCTCTGTCTAGCACACATGCCCTCTGGAATTTTTTTTTTTAATGTAAACCATCATTCTTATTCATAGGCCACACAGAAATAGGCCACTGGCTAGATCTGGCATCATGGGTCCAAGTTTGCTGACCTCTGCTCTATGTGACTACTGCCAAAGACGCGTAGACAGGAGGGAACTACTCGGAGGAGAAGTTTGGGTGAATAGACCATAGACCTGAACTAATGGAGCAGCCGCCTTTTGAACACATCTTGCCTCCATACAGACAAAATGAGAGGATCTCACACTAGGAGTGGAATGTTCCAGGCTGTGGAACATTCCAGTGTAATTCCAATCATAAGTAGCACCTTGTCATTTTTGCTCAAGAATAATGAGCCAAAGTTAATCTTCCCACCTCACCCAACCATAAGGAACCCAGGAAGTACAATCCTACCATGAACCCAAAAGTTCAATCCTAAAATGAGGATATCATTTGGTAAAACTGGAGAGTACGCTCAGCTCAGAGATGCTCTGAGAGCTTTTCTGCTACCCTGATCCCACAGAAGAATT